AGAGTTACAGCGATAGAAAGTACAGGATGTAGCTTCGGCAATGGCGGCCATCGAACATCTTATTGATTATAATGCTAACTCCCATAAACAGAAGGACCCTCCATCAAGAACCAGTACCTCAAACTCCAACAGTGGGGCAAAATTCCTAAGAGTTAGTAGACTCTCAAGTGGGGGAAAGAAAGGAGACCACTCACTCAAGACACACCACAACTAAGAACAATTAAGCTGTGAGGCTTCAAACCTCGAACCCTGATATCTTGTTTTCTTTGTAATGAACCTCATCAAGTAGCTGAATGCCCACGTTGAACAGTTCTTAACGCAATATGTATGGCTAATGTAGAAGCATTTTGAGCCTAAACCCTGGTTAAGGAAATAGAAGAGGAACGGGAACATATGGGTTCTATTCGATTCCTTAGTGCACTGTAAGCATAATTAGAAAAGATACAGAAAGAACCTCAACAAGGTCTCATGGATGTTGATGTGTTGGTTAATGATAAAAATGCCAAAGCCATGCTCAACACAAGGGCCTTTGATACCTTCATTACGTCAAGAGAGGCAACAAGATGCGATCTCAAAGTTGAGAAAAACTTCAAGCAGATGAAAGCAATCAACTCTCTAGCTTCAGCTATTATGGGGAACTCCAGAGACATAAAGGGTAAGATTGGTTCTTGGAAAAGGAAGGTGAACATGATTGTAGCCATTATAGATGACTTTGATTTTTTCTTGGGCTTGGATTTTATGACGAAAGCATAAGCCATCCCATTTCTTGTCGTGAGTTGTCTAATATTATTCAAGGAACAGCCATGTGTGGTTTCAAGATATGATGCCAAAATAGTTACCAAGGTCCTACCACCTTGATAAGCTGTTGATTATGAGATAGAAGTACCTCCAAGCATCAAGCCGCCCGCAAAAGGGCCATACAAGATGGCTTCCTTAGAGTTAGTAAAGCTAAAGAAGCAATTAGACGAGCTAACTCAAGCTGGATTTATCCAACCATCAAATGCACCATTTGGGGCCTTAGTACTCTTTCACAAAAAGCAAGATGAGAGTTTGCGATTGTGTGTAGATTATCGAGCTCTGAACAAAATCACAGTCAAGAATAAATATCCAATTCCCCTTATAGCAGATCTCTTTGACCAGTTGAGTCGTGCAAAGTACTTTTCCAAACTAGAATTGAGATCAGGCTACCATCAATTAAGAGTTGTCGAAAGAGATGAATTAAAATTCATCTATGTGATGCGGTATGGTGCATTCAAATTTCTTGCTATGCCTTTTAGAAAACCAATGCTCCTACCACTTTTTGTACATTGATGAATCAGTTTTTCCATGAATATTTAGACAAGTTCATGGCAATCTACTTAGATGATATCGTGGTGTACAGTTCAACCTTTAAAGAACATCAAAGGCACTCGTAGTAGGTCTTTCAAAGGTACGTGACAACTAGCTATATGTGAAAAGAGAGAAATGTGTATTTGCACAAACTTGAATTCAATTCCTTACTTTTGTGAACAGGAAGAAGAAGAAGAAAAAGAAGAAGAAGAAATCGATGGGATGTCGTGATGGTGGGTAAAAAGTGGCCTATGGGTGACCGACGTTGCTTGGAGTCTTGGTGCGAGGTTGGATTAGTTAGGGTCTTGAAGGAGGCTACTATTGAGGTGAGGGCTAAAAATTGGAATTAAGCATTATGAATTTAAGGTAAAAAGAACAAATATCTATATGATTCTATAAATGGGTCTTAATCGTATACTAAATATCTCTACACAGTACATTTACACATTTAGAAAAATGGAAAATAAACAGATCACGAGTACATCAGAACACAATTAATTAATCGTATCTTAAATGATTTGAGTTGCTGGTAATTTTATTCATGTTTAAGTGAGGGGATTTGAGTGGTAATGATCTGTAAATAAGTGATGGTCAATTGATCCCTTATTTTTGGGACTTTATTTTGTTGTACATTCATGAGGGCTGAATACTAGGTTGAGTCTGCTATCATGGGCTATATAGACTTCAACCTAGCATAATGAGCTTTCATTCATTAATGAAAGTATCATAATTTTCCAAGGAAAAGAAGCAATAAACACTACTTAACATTTTATTTTTAATAGTAAAACAATCCAATTTTATATCCTAAATTTAGTATTTAAATTTTTTAGAACTAAAAATTCAAAACTAATTTTTCAAAATTGAAAAACTTCGGCCTTTAAGTTAAATTAAGACAATATTTATAGGTTGGAGAGAGTAATAAATTAATAATATAGAGAAAATTTAGATGAGTCAAAATCCAAAAAGGCCAAATGCTCGTGACAATATTGTTTGTATTTTCATGCAATTCTAATGGTGATTTCTTTGTATATTCCATCTTTTTTGTATAAAACCAAATATATATATATACACAAGTATGTATATGACGTGTTCGGATTATATTTTTTTGATCCATTTTGTATGATTTATAATTATCACAAGACTTGACTTCTTAAACTGTAACGTTAAGATTCAAAATTTAAATTCTTCTTCACCATTAAAATTCCTCGTACTTATTATAAAAACTGTAGTGTTAATAGCCACATACATGCATAGGCAGAGCCTCCTTATAGGATGGGGGATCCAAAATTTAAAAAAAAATTACATATTATATAAATTTTTTAAATTTTTTTATAAATTTTCTTGATGGTCCCATTAAAATAATTTTTTATTTAATAATTAATACAATATAGAATAACAAAATAATTTTATTTGCTAGACTCAGCGTTAAGTTTTTTTTTTAATTTTTTCTTTTAATTTATATTATTATTTTTATTTATTTATTTCTAGTTTATTTACTTATACGTTCTAAATCTTTATAGTTTTTTTTATATAAATTTCTATGAACCACCAATCATATTCTTTTTCTTTCTTTTTTATTATAACATATGAAAATTTTATCTTCTACTTGTTATGTTCTTCTTTTTTCTATTACATATATTTTATTTTCTATGATTTTAATTTTTAAAAATAAATAAATTATTATGTAATTTTTCAAATATAAGTTACAGTGTAGCACTGTTGCTAAGAACTTCATCAATATATTATTGTTTATTCAGAATAACTAATTCATTCTAGTATATATATTGCAAACTTTAAGTAACAAGGACATACATAGAAATTGATAGAATAAAATAATTATATTTCTTTCAATACAATTTTATTTATTATATATATTTTTAATGGCTTTCAAAATAATTTTTTGTTTAATAATTAGTTTTATTCTTCAAACTATTTGATAAAATTAGAGTCATTATGGTTAACATATTACTAATTAAGCCTAACAAATAAATTCCAAATTAATATGTTAAGCCTATCAAATTTTTTTAAAAAAAAGTGAGTGTGCTAATCCAAACTTATTAAGTTTTAATATAAATCTAAGCCTATCATAATATATTATATCTCAGTAGTTCAATCCAATAATCTAATATGTTAATTAACAATTTAAGAGGTAAATAAAAAATAAGAAGAAAATTAGAACACACAAAGTAAAGAGGTAATTCATTTGAGTTTGAAAAATTATTTTCTCTTCCATTCTTATACGCAAAGAGTGAGAGAGATCCCTTTTATAGTTTTATTCAGTCATATATATAAATGACACTATTATTACTGTTGATGTGCATTTGTTTGTATGTTGAATATTTTTAAATTTTATATAATTTTTTAGATAAATGATAATTAAATTATATATAATTTTCTCTTTAACTATTTAACGTCTCTTTCTCTTTGACCCTTTTTTTAAAATGCTCTAATTCCGCCCCTGCATACATGTGAATGCCGTTGCACCAATTATGCCTAGAACTGGAGTAGGCGGAAACAAATAAATTGATTTTAGAATTTCCTAATATATGTAGCCACCAAAATTAAGTTCCAAGAAACAGACAAGCTCTACCCTCCTTAAGGTTGAGAAAAGGAGCCATCTTTCTCTATTCATCAAACAAAAATAGAACAAAGACGCCGTTCTTTACCCTTGACTCTCAACTGCATGCATTGCAGACTATCATCGCCTGACATGAAATATTGAAGAGCGAAGATGGTAAAGGCTAGTTCTGTGGTTCGTCATCCTCTGTTTTGGACTCTTGCGGCTTAACTTTAACTTTCTCTTCAATTTAATATTGTATATCAACTCAGGAAGCAAATATGAAGCTTAAATTCAAACAGCTTGTGTAACGAGTGGAAATTTAAGGTATGTTAAAAGAAAAATTCATGTATCCATGTATCATTCAATCAGGTTAGATGAATATTGGCTTTGAAAGTCATGATTTTATATGTAATGACGGATAAATTACAGAAATGTCAAGTCTAAAATCATAACAAGGATTAAAGACTCATATCGGCATTACAACTTCCACTAGGAAAAACAGCACATATCAAATCTATAATTAATTGGTAATAAATGAAAAATCAATTAGTATATATATTTTATGATAACTCAATAGTCAGAAATGACATGAAAATAATAAATAATAAATTGTAATTTTGCAAAAACATTTTTTTTTATGAGTAATCAAGCTGTCGAAACTTTTAACATTTTTTCTTATATTTATGTACGTAACATACCCTTCACTTTATAAATTATAATATTTATCTTTCATTACTGCTTTCTATACTCTTGGTAGCTGGTGATTGCATGTCTTCATACTATTTGATCTCAAACGTCTCATTCAGCTATTAGATTTATCTTAAACCAAGTTCCACTTCAATGGAGACAAGGAGTTTAACAAAAAATGAAAAAAGAGAAGATTATATTCATGAAACAACAAGAAAAGAATTAAATCAACCAATCTTCATGGAAATCCTTCTGTCTTGTACTGTGACTCGTCTCAACAAGGAAAAGAAGATTCCTCTATCAGGTGGAAGGGAGATAATACTCTTCGGTTGATCTAGTACATAATTTTTTTTTTGGTCTTAGAATTCATAGCATTGGCATATCTCGGACTTCAATTTAAGCACCATTGACAAAGCCACATCAATGGATTATGGAGTAGGAGAAGTATTATCTGTCACATAACTTAGCAGGTGTGCTTGATACTTGTAAGTCAAAAGTTTAAGTTCAAGCCTCCTCCCCGACTAAACTCCTATTCAACGAAGCCACCAGGTATCACGGCGGCGGTAATCATCAAAAGAAACATAATTGAAAAGCATCACTTCCATGCCGGCAACCAGCCTCCGAGGAGTCATACAACTGCGACAAATGGGACAAGTTGAATTCCGGTATCCAATCCATCTATCCAAGCAAACTTTATGGAAAAGATGGTCGCATCTCAACTCTCTAATCTCTTCATCGTCATCAATATTGCATAGACAAATAGCACATTCAACCACTTCCTCATCCGACTCTTGCTTGTGGTAGTTGCACCTCCCTAGCTTAAGATCTTCGCCAATTCCTGGCATGTCATAAGGGAACAAGGTGTGAAGAAGCAAGAAGTTCCATGCCCATTTCAGAGGCGAAACGATTGAAAGAAAAGATAAGAAGTAGTTGCCTAGCTTGTCGATGAGCATGGTGGAGAGACAGAGAGAGTAGACAGGGGAAAAGAGAGCGAAGGAAAGATAGATAAGTGGCTTCGTAAAGGCTGGAATATAGATGGGAATATTTATAGAGGCACGTGCTGAAAGTCTGAAACGTCCCATTCAAAAGGAATGCTTTGGAAAGATAGTAGTCAAAGACTGATTCAAACATGCGGGATTTGAAAGAAGCTGAATGCCAACGTCATCAAATTGAAACAACAACATGTTAGCTTGTGATACTAAGCCAACGTTTGAGCATGAGAATTTCTTTGGATATATTAAACCAACATGCGTGTATAGAGGACTTCGCTGATGAGAAAGCCAAGCATTGGATAAGGGTTTTTTTTTCTTTTTTCTAGTCTAGAAAGGGGATTTCAACCCTATTATTTGAACCAGAGATACATGCATCTCAGTTAAATAGTCAGTACCCAAGACAAACCTTATATATATGTATATATTTGAAAAGCATGGTATGTATTCATTAATATTGCCAAAAATGGCTAAAGACGTGCATATTTGAAAAACATGGTATGTATCCATCAATATTGCCAAGAAAGGCCAAAGACTTACAGAAAGGTGATTACCCAAAAAAAAAGTTTATAAAGCATGGTATGTATCCATCAACAATAGTAAATACTCTACTATTACAAATTGTTCATTATCACTAATTGTGTATTCTATTTTTAGGAAGATTACCCCCAAGAAAAAGTCAATTAAGGGTATTTTGTTTTTTAAATTTAAATCTTTTTATAAAATTAATGTTCTAGGTATTTTATATTTTGCTTTTTACTTTCTGTTCATTGTTTGCAAAAATAAAAATAAAAAGTAAATAAAAAAAACTCATTAACCAAATGGATCCTAATCATCCAATGTCAATTTCATTGAAAATCAGGGTCCTTTCTTTATATATAAAGATTTTGAGTAGCGAAATGAGTGATAATTTTTCATTCATTTTAAGATTTAAATTTCAAAATTTTAAAATGTAATCTCAAATTCTAAGATGTCATCTCAAAACATTAAACTGTTATGTTATAACTATTTTAACGATGAAAATACAGGAATAAAAAGGGGATAAAGTAGAGGAGTAAATAAATAAAATATTGGAAAGGAAGAATTGAATGACAGGGGAAGCAGAGATTAGTGGCCTTGGTGAGTATCTAAAAGTTGCACCAACAATTCAACCTTTTAGAAAATATAATGGGACCTGTAGCTGATTTAGGCATATGAAAAAGGTTGGCTCTGGCGGAGCTGCTGGTGGTCACGATTCCACACCAATCCTAGTCAAGTCTGCTTTTGTTTCAAGTCAAATACAGGCTTTATGATGGAGGACTATTCTTCTATCATTGTTATTATTTTCGACCACGTAATTAGAATATACGGTTATTAGACTACAATTAAAATAACATGTGATTGTATATGGAGTTCCAACTTTTTAATTTTTATATATAAGATAATAATAATGTTCTATATAATAAAGGAAACTTAATTAATTGGCTGTGCAAGATTTAAGCGTTGCACTCTAATTATTAGTGAAATAAAAAATTAAACAAACAAACAATATTAATTTTCACCAAAATAATGCATCATTTTCCACCTCACTATTTTTCAGCGAGAATAAAATTTATTCCCTTGCATTTATCACCACAAATTCATAACTCAAAAGATGAGATATAAACATTAAGCAAGCATTATCCATGGTGTTTCTTGGAAATTCATAAGGCTGCGCAGTGTCGTTTTGGGATGTCTTATGCATGGTATTATGCATGAATGGTCCCAGCTTCCTAACCTTTTGCTTGACTAATAAAGTTTTCTGAGAAAAAACAAAAAACGAAAAAAGTTCTTTAGTGCTGTATATAGCTGAATCTTCAAATGTTCCCTTATTTCCATTTCTTCAAAAGAGTTTTAAACAGAAACCTAACATGTGCATAGTTAGATATTCATAGTCAGTTAACAAGGAAATAGCGCTATAGCTAGCTTTATGTTCAATTGACTAGTTGTTCCCCATGCCAAACCAAACATTTTGGCCCTATTTGTTTCCATATGGATTAAGTGGCCAGTTGATTGGTGCTTTTGCTCTTTTTCTTTCCATTATTTGCCTAATTTTTTAGAAGTTAATAGCGGTGAAAGAAAGACTAATTTTTGTTCAAGAAATTGGGTACTTTTTTAAAAAACTTTAGGGTGTGTTTGATAAATTATTAAAAAAAGTTTAAGTCAAAAATTGAAATATTTCAATTATTTAATTTATTTAAAGTATTCTATTAATTTTATTTAATTATATTAATATTATATTCTATTTTAATTATTTATTTTATTCTTTTAACTTTTATCAATGCAAAATACTTATAAAATCATCAATTTCTTTGATAAAAGATTCAATAAAAATCTACTTTAACATTTTATTTTTAGTAATATAACAAACAAATTTTATATCTTAAATTCAGTATTTAAATTTTTCAGAACTTTAATGATTCAATGTTAAATTTTTTCAGTTTATCAAACAACACCTTAATTAAAATATTACTCCTTGTCAATAAGGATTCGAACTAGAGATTTTAGTTTTGTATTTTATTGAAGATTTAACAATCTTTCAGTCAAATTTGAGTTTTTAACTTTCTAAGACTTTTTTTTTTTATGGTGTTTGTTTATTAGCAAAAAAATTAAGTGAAATTATTTTATTGCAAATTTAGTAGTTTGTTTTGGAACACAAGAAATACTATACATAAGATGGGGAAATGTTTAGCATTAAAGATTGAAACTGATGACCCAAAGCAATAAATATAAATGAAGTTGTCTTTTTTTTCCTGCAATTAGACAATCCAATTAATAACTTTGGGCCATATGGTTATGGTGGGTTTGTATGTTAGGAACTGGAGCTTCATATCTGGGTCTTACACTGGTGGGTTTCTTGATCTTAAGGAGTGGTTTATTGGGTTTTGGGCTTGTTATGAATAAAAATGGTTTGGGGCTTTTTTTATTCTGTGTGTGTGCTATATTTTTCTTTTATTTTTTAAATATTTGTCAATATAAATATTATTAATGTTATAAAATAAATCTTAAGAGAACAATTATAAAAAAAATATAAAATAAAATTTTTTAAAAGAGAGAAAGTATTTAAAGGAGTAAAAAAATCTTATTCAAGTGTGTATCTACAAATAAAGTTTGGGCTTGTTATAAATAAAAATGGTTTTGGGCTTTTTTTATTTTGTGTGTGTGCTATATTTTTCCTCCATTTTTTAAATATTTGTCAATACAAATATTATTAATGTTATAAAATAAATCTTAAGAGAACAACTGTAAAAAAAATATAAAATAAAGTACTTAAAAAGAGAGAAAGTATTTAAAAGAGTAAGAAATTCTTATTCAAGTGTGTATGTACAAATGAAGTAAAAAGGTCTATTTATAGGCTAATAACCCCGATTTAGATTGAATTTACAATATAAAGATAATACTAAGGGATTAGATGAATGAATTAAATCATAATATTCATCCAATCTAACTTACATCCAAATCTAAATATATATAGTATAAATGGATATTCACAAAAATATTCACAACATACCCCCTTAAATCTCCATTATATCCAGAATATGCCTTGTTAAAATTTTACAAGGAAAAAACCTCATGAGAAAAAATTTGAGAAAAGGAAAAAGAGTGCATAATTCTTTTTAAAAATATGCTTTTGAAGTACTACCTCATTAAAAATCTAATCAAGAAAAACCTAAAAGAAAAAACTTTGATGAAGGAAAAGAGTATAATGTGTATTTTACTACCTTGATGACTGCATTATTTAATATTTTTAAAATAACGTATTTCGATCTATTGTACCAACTTTGCAAATGTTACAGTAGGAAAATCTTTGATGAATAATCTGCTATATTGTCAATTAATTAAATTTGTTGAACACTAATATCATATTTTTCTTAGAAATCATGAGTGAAGATAAACTTTGATAAAATATTTTGTCCTATTGTCTTTAATGTATCTTTCCTTTAAATGTGCTATGCAAGCGGTATTATCTTCATATAGCGTTGTTGGAATTTGCTTCTCGATTGACAAGCCACATGTTTCTCAAATATGTTAAGTTATAGATCTTAACTAAACGCATTCACGACTTGCCTTATAAATAGTTAAAATTTTTGCAAGGCTAGAGGAAGTAACAAATATTGTTTGTTTTACAAAATACTATGAAATAGTCGTCCTCTACATGTGAATAAGTAACTTATCTGAAATCAAGCTTTGTGTGGATCAGATAAACATTCTGCATCTGCATAGCTAATTAAATTTGATTTTAATACATTTGAATAATATAAGTCATATCCATTGTTCCTTGAAGATATTGAAGTATACATTTAATTCCATTCTAATATCTTAGAGTTGAAGAAGAACTATATGTTGCTAATAAATTTACAGCAATTGATACATCAAGTTATGTATTGCTAGCAAGATACATTAGTTCTCCAATTACGATAAGATATGGTACTTTAAGACGAAGAAGTTCTTCATTATCCTTACGAGGTAGGAAATGATCTTTTTTTTTTTCACATCTAGTGACTTTACAACCATTGATAAACTTAATAGATGTGTTTTATCTATATAAAATCACTTTAACACTTTTGCTATATAATTATATTGATGGATAAAAATTTCATTTGTCAAGTGTTCAATATGAAGACCTAAATAAAACTTTGTTTTTTCAAGATCTTTCATCTCAAATTCTTTCTTTAAATAATTCATGGCTTTTGATAACTCTTCAAAAGTTTCAATAATGTTTATGTCATCAACATAAATAGCAATTGTTACAAATCCATATCTGAATTCTTTTATAAAAACACATGGGTATATAGTATCATTTTGATAGCATTCATTTAATAAATATTCATTAAGACGATTATACCACATGTGTCTAGATTGCTTTAATCCATATACATATTTATTTAATTTGATCAAATAAATTTTTTAAAAATTCAAATTTTGTACTTCAAGCAATTTAAATCCTTCAGGAATTTCATATAGATATCGATATCAAATAAGCCATATAAATAGGTTGTAGCTATATCTATTAAACGCATTTTAATCTTCTCATATATTACCAGACTAGTTATTAAAAAATTATAATTGCATCCACCATAAAAAATATATCTCTTCATATTCAATACCAGATCTTTAAGTAAAACCTTGTGCAACAAGCTGTGTTTTATATCTCATAATCTCATTTTTTTCATTTCGTATTTGCACAAATACCCATTTATGTCCAATTGGGTTTATAGCAAGTGGTGTACAGACTACAGGTTCAAAATTTTCATATTTTGCTAGTGAATTCTACTTTGATTATGTATTTTCACATTGGCCAATCATTTTTATGTCTACATTCTTCACAGATTTAGGTTCAAGATCTTTATTTTTTTTATATTATTGCGCTCTATATTATATATAAAAATATTGTTGACGTTTATTTCATTTTAATTCCATCTTTTCCCATCATAACATAATTGATTGATATCTCTTCATTTTCAATTATTTCAGGTACTTGAATTTCTTCTGAAATTTTTATCAATTACGTCAAGGATCTTTTCTAGAGTTCCTACTTCCTCTTTTTGACCATATTGAATATTTGCTCTTTTTCTTTTTCGAAGATTTTATCTTTGGAATCTATTGGTCTCTACACTTCTGGCATGCCTTATTTTACAAAGATATCAATGCTAATAGGAGCATTTGCAGTTGGTATATAAAATATAATTATTCTCTTTAGATCAATAAATATGTTTGGCAATTTATTTGTTATATTTAACAAATGAATTTTCTTTTGAACTTCGAGTTCATATTAATTTGTGTAAAAATCAAAATTAGATAATGATAATACATTCCAAGAAAAAAAAATTTCAGCTACTTATTTTCTCTCCCTAATGTTGGAAAAATTGTTTTATTAAAATAACAATCGATAAACTTTGCCATAAATAAATCTCCTATTGATAATTCTAAATATTTAATTATAAATGGAGATTCGTATCTAACATATATTCTTAACCTCCTTTAAAGACTCATCTTTGTGTATTGTGATGGGGCAATTGAAACATATACCACACACCAAAAAATTTTTAGATGAGAAATATTTGGTTCTTGACTATAAACCAATCATATAAGGGAAAATACATAATAACTCGTTTGGCTTAATGCATACAAATGTTATTACATCCAAAATGGCATGCCTCGAAATAGAAATTAAGAGTTTAAATTTCATAAGTAATGGCATTGTAATTAGTTGGAAGTGTTTAATAAATGATTCTATTAGACCATTTTGTGTATGAACATAAGCAACAAGTTCTTCAACAGTTATTCCAACTAATATGCAATACTAAAGGCTTGAGATGTAAATTCATCAAAATTGTCAAAACGAATTATCTTGATTACATGATTAGAAAAATGTGCTTCCAAATAAACGACTTTGGCGATTAATCATGTAAATGTCAAATTGCAAGTTGATAATAAGTATGCATTGACCATTTAGTCTATGTATTGATTAAAACTGTAAAATATCTAAATGGTTCATGGTGGATTTATGAATCCACATAAAACCTTGAATATGTTTTAAAAACTTAGGAAATTTAATCCCAAATTTAGCGAGTGATAGTCTTATAATTTATTTGTCTTAAGACTAAGCAGCACATGAGTATTTCATTAGATTGAAAATTTTTTTAGTTTTTCAATGAATAATCATATTAATTTTTAATAATTTTTTACATCATTATTAATCCAGGATGGTCTAACTAATCATGCCAAGCATTAAAATCATTAGTAAATTTTTAGTTTACTATGAGTTTCAATAATTTTAATATTTGTGTAGTTTAATTCAAAGAATAAAGTGAGTAATTTTTTTTTTCAACACACACTTCTTACTCAAGATAATAGATGTAATATAAAGGTATTAAGTGTTTTTTTTTTCATTATCTCAATATGATATCTATTCAAACGAATATCTTTAAAACTTAATAAACTTCTTTGAGACTTAATAGAAAATAATATATCCTCTATTATAAACTTTGTTTCTCAAGGTAGTAAAACATTTACTCTTTTAGAGTCTTCAATTAATCTTGTACTACCAAATGTTGTATTGAAATTGATTTTTTTTTTCATTGTCAAGTGGAATAATATTTCTTGTCTTTAAATATAGTGTACGTCGTAGCAATGTCTGCTAGACATATATTTATATCATAGATCTTAAATCCAACAATATGAATATCCATATTTTTCTTCAATAAGAAATAAGATATATATATAATAAGAAACTTGCAAGCTAACATATAAAAAAAATTAAATATAAAATTAAAACACATAATAAGAACATATCATTTAAATATAATAAGATCATATTAAAGCATCTTCATAATATAATTATACTAAAATATACCAATTACTATTAAGTTCATTTTCGAATATTTCTATTATCAATCAAATAATCAATTCCTTTTTCAGGACAAGAAAACCAACAGTGGATATTTATATTACCAATCATATAATCAATTCTTCTTTGAGGGTGGACAAACATCTTGATGTGCTATATCAACTTGGCTATGATTAAAATCATCACAAGATATTTTAATTTTCAGTGATGTTTGATAAAATTCAAGACATATAACAAATACGTGATCAATGGCCTTTCATGCCATATCAATGACAATACATTTTCTATATTCTTTTTATTCTTTTCTTTTTTGTCTTGCCATTATTCATCCACTTTTGGTGGGTTGAAAGTAGTCATCCACTTTTGGTAGGTAATCCACTTAAGTGGATTACTCATTTTTATTAGGTTAGTGGTTAAGGCATCAATCCACTTTTGATGGTAAAATTATCCATCCACTTTTTGTGGTAAAATTATTTTGATAGTAACTTTATCCATCTCTGGTTGTAAAATTATTCTTAAAATTAAAATAATAATAGAGTAAATTATTATAGTGAACATCATTTTTAAATAATTTTGCATTCACTTCAAGGGATTGCATTCACTTCAAGGGATGGATGGATTCATGACTATGACCATAATCAAATGATGTCACATTCACTTTAAGAAAAAGATAGATTTATAACTTTTATTAGTAGCTCTTTTTGTCGCATTCATTTCAGGGAATGAATATTCATGATTTGTCATTAATAGCTATATATTAGTAATTTCAATTTCCAATCAAGAGACAAAATATAATTTATACTACATGATAGCAAAATTCATATTAAGGTTGATTTTTAAAGAATGAAAAAACTAAAGACATATCAACCCACTTACTTTATTCACTACAACCAAAATTTAAAATCAACCATTAAAATCCTCTTAAAGTTTGGAGATGATGAAAAAAAAAATATCAATACTTACCTAATTTGCTAAAACCACAGATCAAAACCCAATCGTTGAAATCCTTTTGAAACTTAAAGATGATGGAAACAAAATGATTTTAAAACTTGAGAAATTAGATGATCGTGTTGTTATGAAATAAACTTAGAAAACAACTATAAGAGAAATATAAGAGAAAATATTTAAAGGAATAAGAAAATCTTATTCAAGTGTGTATCTACAAATGAAGTGAAGAAGCTTATTTATAGGCTAATAATCCCTTATTTAGATAGAATTTACAAGATGAAACAATAATAATAGATTAGATGGATGGATTAAATCTTAATGGTCATCAGTTTAATTTACATCCAAATTTAGATATACATAACAAAAATGGATATTTACAAAAATATTCATAACAATTAAATGTATTATATATTTATTCTATCAATATATATTTTTTAAATAGACTGAAAAAGATTTAATTTTTTTTATATTAAAACTTCAGTCTTTTGTGAAAGAACAAGAAAGATAAGGGAGCAAAATGAAAATAAAAATATTTATTATCATATTTTTTTTCTATCTTTTCTAATTTTAATTGATTTAATTTTTAGATATTATTTTACAAATGTTAATAATTTATAATTATTATTGCTTTTTTAAAAAAAATGCACAATATAACAATTTATTGATTTATACTTTAAACGTGAAAATAAATTAATACCTCCCGCGATGGGATTCTCCTAGTTTATATATCAAAGCAAATTCTTATGTCTTAATGTGGCGGTGGCCCTTTCCAATAAACTCATGTTTTTGGAATCATGGAATCGTAACGAATAGAGGTGATTTTCACTTTCAGTCAAATTTTGTATATTGTCGAAATAATAGGTTTAATTAATCCCTGTAAACTACTCATTACATCAGTTTTGAATATTATGTCAATACAATCAAATACTATTTCAATATAAATAATGAATAACTTTAAACACCGTTAATGATTGAATTAACATTATTAATTTCAAAAAATATAAAAATTTAATTTTTACAAATTATTGTACAAGATTAAATCTATCACTTTGACAAAATTCATGAACTATCTCAAATTTTATAAATTATTATATAAAAATTAAATCTACTACTTTAACAAAATACATATATTAATTGCATAATTTGATGCCCTTCAAAAAAAAATTTGCATAATTTGACATCCACTCCCCAACAACTAATGCCAAACGCAGACACAAAATCCAACTATATCTGTCTATCCTTCAAAGCCAATGGCTTCACATACTCAAAAGAATAAGTAAAGAAATAAAGAAAACAAAGCACCATGAATGTAGACAAACTGAAATCAATTCCAACAATTATTACTGCTTATGGAATCTGATTCAATTACTTTCACCTTTTTCTCATGAAAAGAGTGTGAATTGAAGTGTAACTGCAGTTTAGACCAATGGTCTTCTATGGCAATTATTCCAACCACTATTCGATGCAGCACCACCTCATAAGCTTTTTGAGCCTGCTATTAAATGATCTCTTAAGCGTTTCTCAACCTTCATGTTATTATATATGTGTAGAGTACCAAGCATAGCTACAATAGCGTCCCGAGGAAAAGAAATTCTATGGCTTCTTTCAAAGCATCCATGCTAGCTGCTCTTCCTCTTTATCACCTCATCCTCGTGCTTCTTTTCACCTCTTCCCACCATATCAGCAAGCCTGTTTTCGCCGATGACAGGCTGATCGAGCTGCAGTGCCACAATGCACAAGTACCAGCAGTCTGTATCCAATGCCTAAAATCCGATCCGCGAGGAGAAGTCGTATCCGATAATGTAGGGATCGCCACCATCGTCTTAAAATGTCTAAGCAACAATGCTGAAACCTTGGCAAAGAACTTGTCCAGTTTAGCTTCGGGTGTCCGAGACAAGAACATAAAGTCTCTATTACAAGATTGTGAGCAAGGGTTTGTTCAAGCGAAGCACGATCTATCTACAGCGACGAATCAGTTGAAGAGAAAGGATTATGATAAGACCAATCATTTCGTGCGAACAGCACTTGAGCAGGAGGTAACTTGTAGCAAAAATGTTGCGAGCCTGAAATTAAAGGTTCCTAACAATGTCCTCTTTGAAATGAGGGTTTATGAAGATCTTTCTGATGCAGCAATGAGAATAATTGATAGGTTCTAGCTTGTCAATCATGGTAGACAATAATTTTAATTTTTAGTGCTTGTGAGAGTGAGTGAGATGGGGAAAGAAAATAAAGAAAATCATATTTGTCTCCATTCTTTAATATTTTTATCCTATCCCCTTCTCTTATTTGCATAAATTTTTTTACTATTTATTCAACAATACCAACAAAATAACTCTTAAAAATGCTTTCAACCCAAACTCTCTAAAATTATATCTTATAATAGAAGAAAAAAGAAAAGGAATAATATAAAAAAATTGCGATATATACTAATATAAGAATAAAATTGACCAAATAATAAATATATAGGTGTGCTAGCAATATATGGGATACTCCTATGCGAGCGGGCATCAAGTCTTACTTGCCATTTCGAAAGCCTAGTCCGGACCCATCTATCTAGGCCCGCTAATAGACTTAAATTTTAATTATTAGAAAAATAAAGAATTATATTGGTATTTTAATATTTATAATTTATTTTGAAATTGAATTAAATTAAAATATTTATTTAATAAAATGATAATCATAAATCTAATTCCAACTTAAAAATGTTATGCCACACCAGACCTAAAACTAGTTAAGATGAATGCCTTGACTGGTGAATAGATATAAATAAACATTGTTAATATCATTTTGACTACAAATCTTGTAGTTATCAATAACTAGGTTTATTTCAACAATTCGAGATCTCGTTTGGTAGCAAAAAAGTACATTATTTTCTTGAAAATTTAATTAATTCAATGGGAAAGATATTCTTGTATTTGGTGTGTTACGTTTTTTAGAATGTAACTTTAGTATTGACTAGAAATGTCAATGAGCAAGGTATCCAGATTTAATTAATTAATAGGATACCCATACCCTACAACTACATGAATACTTTTTAAATTTACTACTCTAACCTGAACCTTAATACTTATCCACTACTTGATAATTACCCAAATCCGGTTATGTAAAAAAATTATTAAAATACTTTTCATGGGTATACAATTATCTGAACCCGAATCTGTATTCGTATCTATATATAATAATATTTCTCATTCATATTCCATATAATTCATTAATAATTAAATTTATAAAAGTACACAATCAATAATATTTAAATTTAAATAATCAAAAACAAATATTTTAAAATATTAACTTAAATAATTAAAACCAAATATCAAAACAACAACTTAAACAACATTGCAAGTTTACAACAAGGTAACAACATTACAAGTTTAATTAACTATATGGGTTTGTTCTTAATTATATGAAATTAAAAAAAAATAGTTATGTTCCAAAATTATTTTAATCTTACAAGTATATATATCATAAATTTATCTAAATAAAGGTATATATATTATAATCAATAATTTTATAAGTTATAATTTTTATAATATTAATACAAAATAGAAAGTAATTATGTTTATATTTAAAGTGAATATACTAAAAGTATATATATAATAGTAATTATATTCTTTATAAATTAACACAATATATAAAGTATAATATTAAAAGACATTACAAGTTAGTTAATAATCACAATTTCATGAATTAATTCAATTAACAATATGAGTTTGTCTTTAATTACAAATAATTAAAAAAACTATTTAGGTTTCAAAACTATTCTAATCTCATAACTTCTCTTTAGGTATATATATTATAAATTTATATAAACAAAGGTATATATATTATAATTAATAATTTTATAAGTTATAATTTTTGTAACTTTAACATAAATAAAAAGTAAATATGTTTATATTTAAAGTATATATACTAAAAATATATATAATGGTCCTTATATTCCTTATAAATTAACACAATATATAGATTATATATATATATTAAAAGATATTATAAGTTAATTAATAATCATAGTTTTATGAATTAATTTAACTAGCAATATGGGTTTGTCTTTAGTTACATGAAATTTTTTAAAACAAAAACACAATTAGGTTCAAGTAATGGGTACCTAACAAGTGGTATCCCAACCTTACCTGAACCTAACGCGAATAATAAAATAACTACTTGAATCAACCCTAAACTCGATTATAAGATAACTTAACTCTACATAATTTGGTTGAATACCCGCAGGCACCTTGTAATAGGGTACCCATTGCCATTCTTACCATTAACATCAAATTATCACAAATCTTGACAACTTCATTCTCATAAAGGGAGGTGATAGGGTGATTTTTTCATGTTAAGGGCAAGTAATAAAAATTGAGACAAAATTACCTTTCGACCTCTTTTCAGTTCCCCAATTTCACAAAGTATAATGGAACCAAATATAAGGATGCAAATGGGTTGTTGTACATTGCACAGGTATCCACAAGTATCCAACACAATAACATAGGATTCGAGTACCCTATATTTAGTTATGGAGCAAGTTCATGTTAGACTTTTAATACTCGACTCAAGTTTGGGTAGGTTTCGAGTATCACCTTAAAATACCCTAAACCCGAACTCGGTACTTGTAGAAGCCAATTATAAATAATATTATAATATTATATATAATGTTACAAAATTTTATAATTAGTAAGATTCGAACCTTTGTCTTCTTTACCTTTAAGACAATCTTAAGAAGCCATCTCAACTAACTTCCATTTTTTTGTGGTTTAAATTTTAATTATTAGTAAATTGCATATGAATTAACGTAAATTATCTTTTTATTCAGGTTTGGGATTCAGGTTATTAAACAAGTATCCATATACAAAAAATTTGCCTTGTATAATTGGGTATTTAAAGAATTTGGATAATTAGCAGATAATACTATATTAATAAGGTTCAGTTTTGGGTAATATTTTGTAATTTTATCTAAGTTTTAATAGGATTAGGATACCTTGATTTTTAAATGATTTTAGGGTCGAGTACCTCAAAAATAGCTGGTAGCCTACCCATTACATCCCTAACCAAATACCCAATGACTCATATTGTAAAACCCCTCATCTTAGGTGTAGATTAGTTAAGTAAAATTCTACTTGGTGAGCAAATTTAAACATGCTTTAGGGCTAATTTCAAGTTTTTAAGTGTACAAGTTCTTAGGAAAGAAATATAGGTAAAAAAAAATGTATTTTCAAAGTGAAAATTTACATTTTGGAACACAAGTATCGATACATGATGGACAAGTATCAATACTTTCAAACGAAAAAGCTTTCAAAAGGATTCAGATGAACAAATATTGATACATAAAAACTCAAAAACTCAAGTATCGATACTTTCCCCAATGCATTGGTACTTGTAACCGTTTTCACAAAAATAAAAGAAATTATTGTTTTCTCACTCAAAAATTACCCTAAAAGGTATATTTTCATTAGTTTGAAACTTTAGCCACCTAATTTCATATTTCTTCTCAACTTTCAAACCTTCCTTACATTCTTATGCAAAAAATTGCCATCTTTGAAGATTTGAAATTTGGCTTGGGTTTTTCCAATTATCAAAGGTAAAGTTTTCAACTTTTAATCTTTCAAACCCTTGATTTCTATTACTGATTTTAGATATTTCAATAGATTTTGTGTTTTCCTAAGGGTTAAGAATTTTTAGAAGTTTTACTCTCTTGTGACTCACCAAGATAAAGAAATAACAAGGATTTAAATTTCTATACTACTAGTTAAGTGAAAAACAGTGGGTTTAAGCTAGAAAGTTAGATTTAGATGAACTCAATTAGTTTTGAATTAGCATAGGAAGATTACTATGTGATTTATGGTTTAAGTAATGTTATTGATGATTGTTGAACATTTTTGTGCTGGAAAAACTCCAAAAAATTCTCTAGAGTGAAGTTTTGATTTAGTAGAGGTCAAGTGTTCGAAGGTGAGTGGATACACCTTTTCAAGTATTTCATTATGTAAAGTAAAGTAGGATTATTGAGGTGTTTATCTTTCATGATTCAAATATGTTTGTATATGTAGACATTCCCACCTATAAGCGTATGGAATGATTATGCAATATGTATATGAGCATGTGATATATGCTATTTGAGATTTGTATGTGATATAGTTCCACAAACCTTTTGGGATTTGTAAAATATGATTATGTGTTAATGGTGTTACAAGTTATGGATATGATAAATTATTTACACATATAAGGGCCAGATATAAGGCATTGTACCACATGTATATAAGGGCAGATGTGAGGTATGTACCACAAAAATAGAGAAATCTGAGATAGTAAGGAATGTACCATTATCCTCTGTATGACTAAGACAGAATGCCACTCAGTGTGCATATAGTAATCCAAGATAGTGGGAATTAAACCCTATCTGTTTTGAGTGAGGACGGATTACCACTTATAAATATTTTAGTTCTAGTTGATTCTTATGAAAATATAGAGATTAGACTCTAGGAAGATTATGGATAAGTTATGAGTGAGAACATGATATGAAGTAGTAGAGAAATTGATAGAATATGGTTTTGTAAAATCCTACCCTAAGTAAGAGAACAAGTTATAAAATCCTTAGATGAGCATATAGATTACATATTTTGAACATCAAACTTAGTGTTAACCTTCAAAGGAATTCATTAACACTTTTGGTTGTTTGTCACTTTTGAAGCAGAAAATTATCTAAGTTTGGAACAGCTCAAAATATGTTATTTTTATAGAGAAATCTTTTGGAAATAAAAAATGATGGTGTTGATTCCCTTGATTTTTAGATGACTAAAAATGATTGTTTTTCATAATTTTTGGAATACATTTGCCATGGTAAATATGAGTTGTAAATTTAATTTTAGGTGAACTTTTTCGATTTTGTTCTTGAAACCAAAATTAAGATTTTGATTCTTTTAGATTTTGATTTTTTTGATATTTTCATTGAATATAAATGGGGTGTTGTTTGCTTATTCACATTAGGTATCTTAAGTAAATGGAGAGTAAAAAGGAAAGAAGCAAAAATGAGGACATTATTTAATATAAATAAGCTAGGCAAGTTTTATAAGATTATGTCTAAGAAATTGCATTCTATTTCAAATGTGTTGATACATATTCATAATTTATCGATACATATGGTCGTGTATTGATATATGTTCAT